GGCGTCCGGGGCCAGGAGCCCCTCTCCTTCCCGTCTCCCTGTGGGAGCCGGAGCTGCCCGGGATGGGGGCGCGGGGCTGCAGGTTCGCCCTGAGGGCCCTCAGCCGTGGGCACCCGGCTTGTCCTGCTGCTCCGGCCCTTCCACGCCCGGCCCCCCCGGTTCACGGCTTCCTCCGACTCGCTCGCCAGCCGCAGGTGCTGGGAAGGCCGCCTGGCGCTGCGTTAGTTAGGTGGTGCCGCACCTGCGGTCGGCAGAGGCTCTGGTTTTCGCGGGAGGCAGCGGGGCCGCGTTTCCGTGTTTGCGCCTCGGGACCGCAGGGCACAGGGAGGTAAGGACGGTAATACAGCTGTGTTTAGCCTGGGGAAAATGTAGGAAGATTTCCCACAGGGGATTTCTGAGCAGGGCTGGGAAGTAAGGAATGTTGAGACGGAGGCGGAGTCTGCGCTCGGGATGAAGTGTGTGCGGGGCCCAGGGACCGCACTGTGGTTGCGGAGCTGAGGGCTGCGTGCGAGCGGAGAAGAGTGGGGCGGACCTTAGGTTTTCTAGAGGTGAGTAGCCAGTGGGACGTGGCCGGGGTTAATTTTGGCAGGAGAAAGGTGGCAGCATGGAGAATGGACTGGGGGGAGAGGAGAGTCGTAAGTTGGGCATAGTCCGTAAGCATTCATTTAGCAAGTGGTCGCTGTGCGTACTAGCCACTGGGGATACAGGAGTAACCAAAGTGGTTCCTTCCTCAAGAGCTTAGCGTTCAGAGGAGGGCGGACAGGTAAACGGACGAGCGAAAATACAGTAGGAAATACTGTAATAGATGTCTACAGTGGTTTCACAGGAGATAGAATGTAAGGAAAAGGTAGTATCACCAGGGCGGAGGGGGTGGAGGAGGGGGCACAGCCAGAAGGCGACTTTCCCTTGACTGCTTAGGAGGCTGGCGTGATGGGAGCCCGGAGGAGAGTAACGATGGAAGGGCCGGCCCGAGCGACTGGTTGGAATCGACAAACTTCAGTGACTTGACTGGGTGTGGAGGGAAGGGGCAACTCCCAGGTTTCTAACTTGGGAGATGGAGTGGAGGATAGAGGAACTGGGCAGGTGGGTAGGACTGGGGCAGGGAGATGTTGGATTCGGGCTTGAATGTGATACTTCAAGTACTTCGAGACAAGAGTTGTCAGTAGCTGGCAGGAAGAATAGGCCAGGGGTTTGAGAGAAGCCTTGGTTTTTCTAAGGATAAGGTTCAGTATTGCCAAGTAGTCTTGTGGTTGTAATTGATCCCTTCACGCAGGTTGGTCCTGTGGAAATTGATTAATCAAACTGTTGGCCTCAGCAGAATTTCCTTATTGAGTCTTGATGAAAACAGTCGAAAGCATTAACAGGTAGAGCCCATTAAATCTTAATTAACCAGGTGTCTTCTCTCTCCCTAACTAAAGGTGCTTGGCTGACTAGGGGTGATTTGCTGTATTTAAAACTTCTAGCTCTTTCCACATGTAGTACATAATGCAAGCAGATGATTGTATCTTGGTTTTGGTGGGATGTAAAAATATTTTAAGATACAGAATATAACGAGTGCTTTGGGGTAGGGGTGGAGGATTAGAATTTTGCTGTTTACGACACTTGCTCCATTTTGTGGATTAGAGTAGACAGGCTGCAATTGAAAGATTTTAGTTTTCTGAGCAATGATGTTCTTAGTAAGCTTGAAAATTGTTTACAAATCTGAATTTTAAAACAGTATTACACAAACGTTAAAATAAATTTAATTGGTGAAAAAGTTCAAAGGAACAAAATGAAATGTACTTCTGCGGACTCTTGGAGCCTCCCCATCTGACTGTTATGGTGCTCCCCTGATTCCTTTGAAGCTAACAGTCATTTGTCAGCAGGCTGTCTCTAACTGGATTGAAATTTAGAGTTTAAGGTGTTGTTGACTTACCAATTCTTATGCACACTCAGATTTGACAGTCACTGGGTTAAACTGTAAGTCTGAAGTTATTTTAAAATTTAAAAAAGTATTGCAGAAAGGTCAAGTAAGAGAAGAAGTCAGGGTTGATTGTCCTTTGGTGTGGCATCTGAGATGCCAAGTGACCCTGGAGGGCAGCTTCTGTCTCTAACTTCCTTGCCTTTCCGGTTGTCCTTCCTGATCACTGGTGGCTAGTTGCAGCCTTATTGCTGACCCCCTCTGTCCCTCTGAATGTCTGCTTTCTGTAGTCTTTCAGGGCTTGTTACAGTCCAGATTGCTGCTGCCACCCCAGAGTTTCTGGTTCAGTAGGGCTGGGATGGGGCTCAACAATTTCTACATTCCGGCACATTTGCAGGAAATGTGTGCTGCTGCTAGGCTGGGGACCATGCAGGAGAATGCCCATTCTGTGTGGATGCTACTCTGACATTTCAAAAGGGAGTCACCACGTTCATGACGGTGGGAGGTAACGTGGTGAGGCTATGTGTGATTATCAGTGAGTTTGGACGGAGGTGGGGAGTTTGTACCTGATGGCCCCCTCCCCCCTTTTTAATGACTTGTGGGGTCCTTATAAGCAGGGTTCTGACTTATAAATGTGGTTGGTAACTCCTGTTAAATGTTTTCCTTTCATTTTAGCCTGAAAACTGGTTTTCTGAAATGGAAGCCGGATTATGACAGTGCTGCTTCTGAATATGGAAAAGCAGGTGCGTATGACTGTGGCCCGTCCCGCAGATGTCTTGAGCTGGGCTGATAACGTCATCTCGGCGTAATTCTTAGTCTTAATGCTTCCCATAGCAGCGTTTTAATCGTTAAAAAAACCAAAACAAAACCCAAACTGCCCAAACCCTTGCGTTTTTCCATGTGTTGTTTTATGATGTGTTACGTTGTCACCTCTCCGAGGACAGCAGAGACCGGTAGGCTTGGCGGGCACCGCTGTCGGCTTTTAACGTTGTTTATGTGTTCCTGAACTTCGCTCAGTTCATACGACTTTAGGGAGTTTTGTCGTATTTTTCTACTACCTATTATTGAATAAAGATTTTCTCAACGTGTTACAATATGCAGGCTGTGTCCTCAACCGGTCACCTGCAGTGCGTGGCTCTGCTCCTGACGACCTTCCCTTCCAGATGTGCTGATAAATGTTCATGAAGCGTTAAGCTATATGCCTGCTTTAATAAATGTATCTGCATGCAAGATAAAAATGATTTGAAATTTCCAACAGGAAGGGGATTCATTAAAAATTCAGCATTTTTAGTTATGGAATGATAGCTTTCAGAACCTATCCGTGATTATCTTGGATATAAAGCATAATGCAATTTTGAAGTGCGCTGGACACACGTTACTGTGTGTTTCAGCGGTAGCCCCGAGCACATCTGTTAGCCTTGCATAGAGATCACCTGGGAAATGTGCTTTTGGCAAACTAGTTTTAGTATATCACCACAAAAAAAGAAATCGGGTAAACTGAAACTAATCGTAATATAGGATGAATTTTCCAGGTAGTAAAAGAAATGATAGCAAATTAATCTTTAGCTCTTTTATTTAAATCCTAGGTAAATTCTCTCTGTTGCATCATGCAAGTTACTATATCGTATTTAGAAGGAATATCATTACAAGTTCAAATTTTATGTGGATTTTATGGACACCCTTGTATAAGAACACTTTTAATTGGAGAGCATAACATTGTGCAGGTCTCCACGAGAGAAATTTAACACAGAACTGTTTTATGCATCTGAAACTGTGAGCTGTTTTCAGAAATAAATATTTCAGGTCAAATTTTCCCATTAAAGCATGATTCATTTAGTTTCTTTAAAGGGTTATACAAGGTAACATTTCATCAGTAGAATTAAATTTTTTCAAAAAGCAAAATGTGGAAATTCAGGAATGAAAATAGTTTCTGTTGTTTGTTTATTTTCAACATTTTATTAAAGAGAATTTTTTTAACATTTTTTATTGATTTATAATCATTTTACAATGTTGTATCAAATTCCAGTGTACAGCACAACTTTTCAGTTATACATGAACATATATATATTCATTGTCACATTTTTTTCTCTGTGAGCTACCACAAGATCTTGTCCATATTTCCCTGTGCTATACAGTGTAATCTTGTTTATCTATTCTACAATTTTGAACTCCCAGTCTATCTCTTCCCACCCTCCGCCCCCTTGGCAACCACAAGTTTGTATTCTATGTCTGTGAGTCTGTTTCTGTTTTGTATTTATGCTTTGTTTTTTTTTAGATTCCATGTATGAGTCATCTCATATGATATTTTTCTTTCTCTTTCTGGCTTACTTCACTTAGAATGACATTCTCCAGCAACATCCATGTTGCTACAAATGGCATTATGTTGTCGGTTTTTATGACTGAGTAGTATTCCATTGTATAAATATACCACATCTTCTTTATCCAGTCATCTGTTGATGGACATTTAGGCTGTTAAGAATTTTAAGAGTATCTTTTTAACAAAAATTTTTTTAGGCAGTAACCTTTTTATTTATTTGTAAGCAACATTTTATAAGTCTATAAGATCATATTTTAAGGGCACTCCAAATTGTTTTTGCTCTTCTGATGACACTTCTACAACAGCGAGCAATATATTTTTGCTCTTTGAGCAGTGAGAGGTCTTTTTCACAGAAACCTAAATAGTGTAAAAGCTTTATTTATTAAAAAAAACCCACTTAATTATTTAGACATTTATTTAAAGATTGTGCCAAAAGGAAGATTTGTGATAAAAATATTAAGTGTGTTTATTGGTCTTTAGTTTCAGAATAGTTTAAAAGGTAGAATAAGCTGTAACTAAAGCACTGTTTGCATTATTAAACGTGAAACTGGTGCAGTCAGGTACTGGTCTGTGACAGCCTGTTACTTGGGTGTAGAGGCTTGGCTGATGGGATCTTAGTGTCTCAAAGCTTAGATGCCCGTGTTAGGCTTGATTTTGAGTGGAAGTAGCACTGATTTATTGCCCGTAGTCTGTAATGTAAAAACTTCTGAAAATACTTTCAAATTGTTGATAATCAAAAAAGTTGTAAGAAAATGGCTTATAAAAAAGTAGTATTTATAGTTTTATGAAACTTCCTAAGTTTTTGATTAAAGTAAGCATCACATGTATTTTCTGATATTTCATGCACCATGCAGATTTTGGTAATGATTCATTTGCCATTTTTTTAATGGTGGAAATAAAGTCTTTTATTTTCCTTTATTTCAGCTGTTGCTTTTAAAAATGCCAAACAGTTTGAGCAAGCAAAAGATGCCTGCCTGAGAGAAGCTGCTGCCCACGAGAATAACAGGGCGTATCTTTTTCAGCCTTTATAAACTTTATAAATTGCCATAAATTTGCTGCATGTGGAGTACAGTGCTATTAAATTAGAAGCCAGTTAGAAAAAGGCTGCATTTTTAAAGTCTGAAGGTGCATTCATAGAGACTTGCTCATAAGGGCCACACTTCTATGCAGAGCTACGTTTGAGAGTTTGTGGATTTGCTTGGTGGTGGTTTTACTTGGGATGAAGTGAGGGAAATACAGGACAGGGGCTGAGAAATGAGAAGTGCACGGTGGGGAATGTACAAACGGTGATGGAAAAATCTTTAAAATTGTCTTTGTTAGGTATTTGAAATAAAATTTTTAAGTAGTTCAAAACAGATTTTCCTAAAGTATTTTAAATCTTAACTAAAAAAAGTTTATTTTATCTCACTTGCAAATTACAGTTATTAAAACTTTGCATTTTAGTAAAACTTCAGATTAACGTATAGTGGAAATAGCTTAAAAATCTACATAGTGTTTTGTCACTGTCTTTGTGAATTACGTGGTATTTAAGAGACCTGAACAGGCATTGAATGATGTCTTCTGTACCTGATGGGAGGGCTTGTCTTTTCAAATGAACTGGGGCAATGATTTGGTGAATGCTGTTTTTTAAATAGTAGACGTTTAGAAACTGATTTGCTTTTTTTCCTTAATTTTGACTTTGTTGCATCCATTCAGTCTTTTTCATGCTGCCAAGTAAGTAAATGTTCTCCACGTGTTCATGTATTTGTAGATGATTGATTTAAATGTTGCTCTTCTCCTATAGGTCAGTAAATTTTTCCTAAGTTATAAATTCATAAATAGCGAATTAATTTGTATTGACTAAAATAGTCATTTCCATTTGTTTCAGTCTTCACCCGAATCTTTAAAATAAAGTCACTCCTAACTAAGAAATTCAGTGTTTAAGTTAAATTCAGCATCGTGTTTTCAGGACTGTTTTGTTCAGTAACCTGTGGAAAACCGAGTTTTACAGTCTCTTTTTCTCCCTCCTTGGAGAGAAGCAGGAAGCTTTCTCCTGCTTTTGTGGAGAAAAACACTCGTTTCAAAACTTAGATTTAGGTTTGTCAGGTAGGAAGTCACTTGACCTTTCTGGGTGTTACTTAATTTTGTATTTGCAAAATGAAATCCCTTTAACTTAGATGTCTGCCGTTCCCAAGGCAATGTTGCCCGCGGAAATAAAATGAAGAAAAATTATGTCGTGCGGTATTGAGAGACTAAAGTAAATACATGCTGCCTGCGCCAGTTTCACCTCGTGTAACTGCTCGTACCTGCGGTAACTTTCCTCCTCCTCATTTCGTCAGAATCTCATCCGAGAAATTACCTTCTCTCTGCAGAGCCTACGAGCAGGCCGGCATGATGCTGAAGGTCAGTGACGGGTCACAGCCCTTACGTGAGTACGTGGTGAGCCACGAGGTGCGGGAGTGAACTTGTGCCGAGCCTGGGAAGTGCCCCTGCCGTGAGGCGAGAGGCGCTGAGGGTCCTCGTCCAGTGGCGCTGACTGGACCCCGGTGGCGCCTTCTGTGCGTCTCAGGCGGGAGCTTTAAAGGTGGAGCTTCGGAGAATACCTTGGCGGGAACTGGCAGGCGGGTCGAGCTTTGTGAGCAGGAGAGAGCGCCCCCTGGGGGCTCGCTGCTTTGGCGCCGCTCAGGACGCGGTAGCGGTGGACGCGGCCGGTCGTACTGCGCGCGGTCACAGAGTGAGCGTGGGTTATAAGCGGCAGTCGGCTTTGAAGAGACTCTTGACTTAAGCTGTTGCTGTTGAACTCTGGTTCTCTTTGGCTAGTGCTTCGCAGACGTGCCCAAGCCGCTTTTCGTATTTCTGCTTCGGAAAAGCAGGTTGGGAGTTAGCATCCTGCTGTGGTGAGACAGCGTGTTCCTGGCTGACACCGACTCCCCACGTTTGCCGTGGGGCAGCGGGGACGGAGCGTTTTCCTCGCCGTTTTTATGTGCCCTAATACGGTAAAAGCTGTGTTTACAATGACTTATTATGAAGCTGGGTTTTAAGAACTTAGACTTTCGTAAAACTTCGGTTCGTTTTTAATTACTAATTTATCATCTTAAATTACTGATTTTTAAAAAAATAAATACATGCTCATGTAGAACATTTAGAAATGCTGGAAGTATTAAAGACTGTTAGTAATAGCTGTTACCATGTTTAGTTTTTCCTTCTAGTTATTTTCTGTACACGTACATTCTCCTGTATGTGTGGACACAGAAAACAGGTGATGCTCTGCACACAGCTTTGTCTCTGACTGTTTACATTCAACTTCATGCACGTTTTCTAATGCCATTAGAAAAAATACTTTCATAATAATATATAAAGAGCTTTAAGCTTTCATAGTCTTTGAGCCAGGAATTCTAATTCTGTGATTCTGTCGTAAAGAAATAAATAGTAAAGATTTATGCATAAGGATGTTTATTGCTGTGCTATTTAAGGAAAAAATGGCAATTATCTAAATTTTTAATAATAGGAAAATGTAAGTTATGACGCTTTACTGTAATACAGCTATTGTAATAAAGCTTTTCTGGCTGAAACGTATAACTGAATTGATGTTTGATGATGCAAGCCAGGTTATTGGCAGCAGTTCCTTAGCAGCTAGAATTTTTTTCATAGCCGAGGAAGCCAGGTGTCTGCCCTGACCCTCCTCCGTCTCCCCCGAGGACGCTGAAGCTCCCGACTGGCTCCTGTGGTCCCGGGCACGTGTGCCTGTTGCTGGGGTGCACTGTCGCAGTCTGCAACTGCCGGAACGCTCTGATACAACGCTTAACACGGCCTCAGTTTATTTTCCAACATCTGTGCTAAAACTTGTCTTCGTTAGAGATTGTTATTCAGACTTCATTTCCCTTTAATTTGAGGATTTGAAAGGCACTGCTTTGAAGGAAGGAAAAATAACCTAACAGATAAGGGAAAAGACAGAGGGAAGTGCTGTCCTAGGCTCTCTCGTGTTTCCACCGAGTGCCTTTGGACTGGCCTCGGCTGCACGTGGTGTCCTGAGCTCTTGCTCGTCGGGTAGTTCTGTGGGCTGGCGCTCCCCAGCGAGGCTTGGGCAGTGCTGCTTTGTAGATGGAGGCCCTGGGAAGACGCGGGCTTGGTGGATAGGCCTCTGGTTCTGACGTTCTGCAGCTGTTAGGATTTGCAGAAGCGTCAAGGTGGCTGAGGCGCACAAGCCCCTGGGAGCAGGCAGTTCACTTTCTTCTTGATGATTTCGCCACACAGAACACGGCGCAGGGTGGAGAGGAGTGTGACTTTGCAGCGGGCAGCCTGTCGCTTTGTGGAGGAGAAGCAGCACTGTGGTTGGGTCCCGCTTTTCCCACTCCCTCTTGGTCTGACGTGCAGCCGGGCCAGGAAATTGCTCGTTTCTAAGCCTGCGGTGCTCACGTCACCCTGCCCTCGGCCTTCGTTCGCCCCTGCGCCGAGTCTGAAGGGTGCTTGTGACCATCCCCCAAATGCTCTGCAGGTTGTAGACTCTCAAGTCATGTTTGTGAGAGCAGTGAACGTGAGAATTGGGGGGAAAACACTCCGTAACAGCCAGGGTGCCCCTCTGGACTGAAGTGAAAGAAGTGCCTGTGTTGGGCGCACCTCCTCCCACCAGGTGCCCTCACCGCGGAGCCGAGGCTCCTGTGCCAGAACGGGCTTTCCCTGACGCCTGGGGATGTGTCACCATTCCGCGGGGGTTTGATAGCAGCTTTACTTTGTGTAGTAGCTTGAACCCTGTTTTGTTGTTAGTCTCCATGACTAAATACCAAAAAAAGGTATACTCAGAAGTCAGCAGCAACGAGACCAGCAAGTCTGTCCTAGAGAAATTGTCAGCCTAGTGAAGGACTAAAGAGCAGATCTGACAGCAGCCCAGGGGAGGTCTGCGTGGAGGCGACTCTGTGGTGCAGCATGTCTGCCTTAAGTAGGTAATGCCTGTAAACTGTACAGCTTTTCAATGGTTTTTTTCCCCACTGTTTTTTTTTCCCCAAAGAGTGTACTTCTTTTTATATATGTATACTTTAATTGAATTGTAGTCAGTTTACAATCTTGTGACAGTTTCTGGTGTACAGTGTAATGCTTCAATCATACAGGAACATACATATATTCATTTTTGTACTTTCTACCATAAGTTACTGGAAAATGTTGAATACAGCTCCCGGTGCTGTACAGTATGAACATGTTCTTTATCTATTTTAATGTGTATTAGTTACTATCTGCAGATCTGACTTCCCGTTTACCCCCTTCCCACCCGCTCCCGCCCCTTACGTCCTGTTTTCTTTTTTTGCCTTGTTTCACCAGTTTCTCTTTAACATTTTTTGATTTATAATCATTTTACAG